GAGGTGTGGGGACCAGAACTGAGGACATTATTCAAGGTGTGGATACACCATGGATTTATAAAGGGGCATGATGATACTTTTTGTTTTGTTTCCTATTCCTCTCTTCATACCCCTAACATTTTGTCTGCTTTGCTGACAGCTGCTGAGTACCAAGCTAATGTTGTTAGCAAATTGTTGCCAAACCTTCCCACATCTCTCTCACGTAGTAACAGCTCAGGTACATTCCCCTGAATTGTCTAGATGGGGTTGCCCAGCTGCAAAAATACCCTTACCTGCACTGAATAGCACCTGCCATTTAGTTGCCCTGTCACCCAATCATGCCAGATCCTTCTGTAGCACCTCACTACCCACCTTGGTCTTTAGTCTCCTGGAAGTTAACCCTGGGTGGCAGGGTGCTAGAAGTCAAACTAAGAAGGGTTATCAAGACTGAAAGTATAAAAAGGTAAGTTCAAGTCCAAACAGCCAATTTTCAGGATGGGAAAAAGCAAACAGCAGTGTCCCCCAGGGGTCCACACTAGGACTAGGGCTGTTTTGCCTCTTCCTGAAGGATCCAGACAGGAGTGGGGTGGGGTAGTAGTGGGGTGGCCAAATTGGCAGATAACACAGAATTACATAGAGTGGTAGAGTTAGATCAGCTATAGTATAAGGGAGTTCAGGCTTAATCACACGTGTCTGAATTTTTTTTCCTGCTTGTCACCTATTTACCTTAGACAGACAGAGGCGATTTTTACCCTCCTTCCATTGATCAGCTTCCTGCTTGTGGCAGTCTTTTGGTTTAGAGTCAGCTTCATTCTTTGCCCCTCTAATCTCAAGGTTGTTTGGATCTTTGTCTAGAGTCCATCACCTCAGAGGTAAACCACTCATTCTGCCATCACGGTCCTTCATGACCTATCTTCTTTCTACCTATAGCTTCTCATTCACTGCTGGGAAGTTGACTCCCCTCTCCCATCAGCCTGTAATGCCAGTTGTCCTTTCCCACTTGTTACCTTATCAAAAGGGCTCCTTCGCACTCTCCCTCCTGTTGCCCCTCCTTTTAGGAAAGAACTGTAAATATCTGCAAAGCCATCATCTATGTGTTCTCCTCCAAATCCTCTTTCATAGAATCAGAAAGAAGCAGGGATGGAAGGGACCTTCAGAGGTCATCTAGTCCAAATCCCTGCCTGAGACAGCATCATCCCTCTCCAAGTCACCCTACTCAATCCATAAGCTAAACTCTGCAGATGAATATTATCAAACTGCACACAAGACAACACCATAACCTGCCACAGGTAAAGCAGGGGAACCAGCAGCCAACCTCCTGCTTCTATAAAACCATGTTAATATATGCTTGAGAGATCCCAGGCAGAGGCCACTCCCCCAGCTACAGAGGAAGGCAAACCCCCGCAGTCCATCCCAATCTGAGTATGGGATAAAATTCCTTTCTAACCCCCCATAGGCCTGTAAGCCACCTTGGCAGAACTGATGCCATTTTTTTGAATAGGCACACAAACAATGTCAACAACTACTGCACGCAAAACAAAATACAGTTAGCTGCAGGAAGGTAAAACAAGACAGAACAGAGAAGCAAAACGAGCCGAAAGATGGCTCAGCAGCTGGGAAGTGAGTTGAAAAGAAAAGGATGAGGGTAACAGATTGGTGAGGAAATAACCACCGTCAAAGGTAAGTAGTGAGGATCCAGAGCAGGGGTGGGCAAAATGTGGCCCGCAGGCCAGATGCGACCCAACAAGCCACTCTATCTGGCCTGTGGGGCCCCATAAAATTTAGAAAATGAGTATTTATCTGCCCCTGAGCTGCCTGTCATGTGGCCCTTGATGGCTTGCCAAAACTCAGTAAGCGGCCCTCTTTCCAAAATAATTGCCCACCCCTCATCTAGAGCATGGCCATCAGAGGATGTACAGGAAAGAGCTGTAAACAGGTATAAAAGCCTATGGAAAGAACTGCCACAGAATCATGAGGAAGTGGTGCTGGAATGGACCTCTTGAGCTAGGGAAAACCTCGCCCCAGGGCCGCGATGACACCTGGACAACCGTCATGGAGTGCTGCTGGGCAGGCCTGTGTAAGGACACCTGTACAGCCCATCTGGGGTATGCTCGACTGGCGACATGGCACATTAGGGTGTGGGACCACCCCTGCATCCAAATAAAGCACGACGACCCCCAACCCAGCCACTGGCCTGAACCCAGGCGGTGGGGCTGGACCCCCGGGTAGGACAAGGGCACAGCAGGGGCTGCGCGGAGGCAACACGAAGGTTTCAAAGATCCAAGTCAAGGAAGCCAGGGCTGGGGCTAGTCCTGCCTAGCCCTCACTCTCAAGGATCCCACCCCATGACGTCATAACTCCGTCACGAGCCCTTGGGGCGAGGGGGGCCCCGCGTGCGCCATGACACTGCCGGCGCAGGCTTCTATGCCATGACGCCACCGCCCCGACGTCACGCACCTCCTCCGCGTTCTCCAAGTCATCGAGCCCCTCGTCCTCCTCCCCGTCGTCGAAGTCGTCGCCGTCAAAGCTGCGGAGACAGGGGCCGGGGCCGTGAGCGCCGCCCTCCCTCCAGCTGCCCCGCCTCGGGGCCCCCTCACTCCCGCCCCCCACTCACTTGTCCTCGTTGTCCGACATCCCGTCGACAACGTCGGCGCACGCGCAGGCAGCTCTCGCGATAGCGGCCCCGGCTCCCGCCGCGCGGCCACTTCCGGCAGCCGGCTGACGTCACGGAAGTGTGCCTCGGAGGAGGCACTGGAAGGGGAAGGTGGGGCTGGTTTCCAGGGTGACGGCTGCCGCCGGAGCGGGGCCTTGCGGGGTGAGTCCTGCCGCGGGGACCTGCCCTCGGCCCCGAGTGCGGGGGGGCTCCTCAGCTGCGGGGTGTTGCTTTTATCAAACGAAACAGCTCTTACCATATTTCTCACATATAATGTACACACCAATTTCCAGCAGCTGGTTTTTTGTTTGTTTGTTTTGGGGGGGGTGTTTTATGCGACAAAATCTGGTACTATCGTGTTTCGTCAGGCGGCTCGATGGAAGGAGAAGGGTGGTTGTCCTCTAGCAAGTGGTGGGAGTTGCACAGTGCTAAGGGTTTGCAGGCTGGGCCAGCAGACTTAAGCTTAGATGGTCAGGACAGATGGCAAACCCATAACTGCTCAGGGGTGGAAGGGCCGTGGATCTGCTGCGCTCAGATCTCCTGTGTAGGAACGGGGGAGAGCCTGTGCACGTATCTGAGCAGGGCTTCGTAGGCTCTCCAGACATTTACAGCCATTTGCAGCTGAACGTATTGGATGCTTGCCACCATCACCGAGGAGACAGTAAAAGAGAGGATGGGGACTCCCAGCTGTTAAAGAACTAGGGTAATTCGGGCTAGGGGCAGAAATTCAACAAGCCTGAGCCTGAACTGATTCAGTCTTTGCAGGTTAGGCTAACCTGGCCAGGCTGAACTGGTTTGTAAGCGTAGGGATGTTAACTCTGGACTGAGGAAATTCAGGCATGTGCCTGCAGTAGCTCAGGCTAGAAGCCGGGGGGGAGTGGTGCTAGAGCAGCTCTCCCTTCCCTTCTACTATGCTGAGCTGAGGAGTGCGTTGCCAGGCCCTGACAGGCTGAGTATGACTGGGGAGAGGTTTAAACCCCACGCTGGCCTTCAGGGACCCCAGCTGGGGTCTGCCTGGCTTTTCCCCCCTGCTTCGCGCTCAGCATGGCCCAGGACCCCCAGAGCCCCCCTCCCAGCCAGGGGGCGATCCCACTGCGCCTTCCCAGCCACTGAGGCCGGGATCTCGCTTGCGGCAGTGCAGGAGCAAAAGCCAGATTGGGGGAAGGGAGGGAAGCAAAATGGCCCCAAGCCCAAGTGGGGACATGTGCAGAGGGATTCCTCCCCCAGCTTACTGACCAGTGATGGAGCCAGCAGGGAGTTGCACAGCATTTACTTACACAGCAGGGAGTTATACAGTGTTTATCAGCCCATCAGGAAAACAAAAGCCTCTCATTAGTTCAAGCTCTTCATTTAGCTCCAAAAGCTCTAAGTGGACACTCCTGTCTGCCTTATACAGACACCTTTCAACATTAGCTAGCATACCATATGTTGGCTACAGTCCATGGTGTGGCAGAGGGAGCAGGGAATCCTTGCTTGATCGATCAGGGGCTGCGGGGAAGGGCAGGAGGAAGCCAGGCAGATGCTGCTGTGTCTGCAGTCTCTACTGGAGCTCCAGCCAGGGAGCAGAGGGGAGGGGCCAGCCCTGCCAGGGAGCAGAGAGCAGACAGCCCTGCACATGGCTGCAAGGCATCTGGGATACTGGGGGAGTCTTGTTTAACTTATACCAGCAAGGGGTCTAGGACAGACATTGCATAAACTTGTTTGACCCAAATCAGTTAAAAGTCCGATACTACATTCAACCAGGTTTATCTCAAGCCGGTTTCAGCCATTTTCAAATGGGTTTATGTGCACTGAGCATTTGTTCTGTTACAGGTTTAAACCATTTTCTGGTCACTTAAACCAGTTTATGTATAATATCTGTCCCTAGCCCAAAAGTCAAGATTTCAGGGCATTATATTTAATTAAATATAAAGGCTAATGCAGAGGGACTGATGACTGTATGTTACAGAGGGGCTCAATGTTCAGCCCACGGCTTTCCATGGGTTGGGAAATTTGGCTAAATTCCCAAACCCCAAACCCTACACAGCTTATTGGAGCTGGGCTGCATGCTCTCCCCCCAACAGGTCTGGACTGTGCCCCTTCCTGCCCACATCTGGATTGGAGCTGCCACCCACCTCCCTCTGCACACCCGCATGGAGCCTGCAGTGCCCACCATGGGTGCCATATAGGGACTATTGGCCAGATTCAGCCCATGGACAAAAGAGGCACTGTCCATCTGGCCTACTGAGGAACAAGACTGAGCATCACTGATATATTAGGATCCTGGAATGACTTAGGATTGTTGAGTTAAGTTGCTAGCAGTTGAAGATGATTTACTATTTCTCTGCCTTCGCTGTCATTTTCAGGGTTTCACAATGTCGTCTCAGCAGGGAAGAAGAGTAGATGTGTGGAAAGGAACAGGGGTCTGGCATTCTCCTGGAACCGTTCCTTACAGCCAAGAAACACAGGAGCTCCTGAAAGGTAATGGGAGGGTGGTATGGAGTTGAGAACACAGGGGAGGCCATAAGTCTTTTGAGACTGCTTTCTTGCTTCCTGTCTTGTTGCATTGTATTTTGTGTAGGTTTTTGTACAACACTCACTGTGGTTGTATGTGGATCTGACTTATTCCATTTGTTGTAGGCATATATGCATTCAGAAAAAAAATCCCTGTCAACCTCAAACATTTCACTACATACACAATACTCTCTCTAGGTATGAGGAGAGAAAATGGACCACTCATGAGAAATGTTATTTACATTGCTTAATGCACTACTGGAAGACATACAGATGCTACAAGTGGTAAAAGAAACTGCACTAAATAGAGAGAGCTGTACTAGCCCATGCTGCTTAAACTGCCTTTTCTATACCCACTCACTCATCTTGCTTCCTCTTCCCATTCAGATCAAACCCAGAGACTGTTTCTGTTCCATCTTTCTCTCTCGTGGTAACACACAAGATGTTTTAACTCCCCCTGACCTAAGTAAAGACATTGCTGTTTCTCCATAGCTATGCCATTCTGCACCCTTCCCTTTCTTGGTGAATGCAGCCTCTTGCCTCAAGTCCATTGTTTAGTCTGCAAGCTTTTCGGGCCAGGGACAGTCTTCTGTATATGTCCTGTAAAGTGTCTGTCTAATCCAACCATCTTATCTGTCTCTCTGTCTTACATAACACCCATCACCAAGGGTACTTACAGATGCTGGCACATACTAAGTAATAACCCACTTTTGTAACCCTTCTTCAACAGTTGCCAAAGCGAGCCAAAGCGAAAGGCAAAAGTCTCATTATTGCAGTTAATCAGTTAAAAGATAATGACTGATGGCTCCCTTGATTGTCTCTCTTTCTCACTTCTGTCACTACAAAGCCTGGTATCATTTGCTTCCAAACCTGGGAGAAGTTTTACCTCCACCTGACCTTCTGTACCATTTTAAAGCCAAAGCTGATTTTTCTTTGGAGACAACTGCCTCTTGGCTTTATAGTGGAAACATAAAAGTTTAAACTTTACCTTATGTGAAGAGGCCTTTCTCCAGTAGCCATCATATATGCTTTCCTGAAACTTTTGGAACAGTTTGTGTCAGTAATAGCTCACAACAGAATTCTACAAGCTAATTAGTTGCAATGAAAAAATCATTCCCTTTGCTCTGTCTGTATATTTGCCATTTTTTTTAATTGTGTTCTGATTTAAAATGGTAGATGGAAATCAGGAGGAGCCTCTAATTTTTACAATCAAGGCACTAGGGGCATAAATCTGGATTAGAAATTAGTTGGATTAAATATGGATTAGTTGTTTAAGGTGGGCAGATAATTCCACAGGCCAGAGGTGTAGTGTACTGGTTGGGGCTTTACTGATGGTTCTTGTCTTTCAGTGATGATGCAGGAATGCAGACTTACTAATTTCCAGAAACGCCACCTTATGGACTGCATAAAACGTGAGTGATGTCTGTCTTCCTTGTGCACATCCACACCTACACACTCTGTCTTATGCAGGTTTCTTAATAACCTGTTCCTAATCCTTTTAACCATGTTTCAGCTGCTGTGGTGAAGAGTTCAGAGTAGTGGAGAATTCAGTGAATAATTCACCTCTGGTGAGATAATATAGATCCTTGTCTTTCCAGAAAGCATTTATCTGTAAATGGGAGAAGAGGCACAAAAGCCCACCGGCAAGAAATGGCAGTGGAGAAATGTCTTTCTTTTCCACATTAGGCACAGCTCAGGTATTTCCATCTCTATCTTATACAGAGACAGTGAAATCAGCCCAGGGAATGGGACACAGTTCTGATGCTCCCATAGATCACAGCACAACACTAACCCTTGCCTTTCTACAGACCTGGGATTTTTGCCAAAGATGTCTAGAGATGTTATCAAGCTGCAGACCCCTCTGTGTCTGACATACTAGTGTCTTTCCTTCTTTCCCCAGGAGGTGATGCTCTGCCCATCCAATGCAACCCAACTTCCAGCAAACAGCCAGAGCTTGCAAAGCCCAATTCTTCTCCACCAAAGCCTTGTCTGCCAGTGAGCTTGCTGGCTAGACCCCATCTCCGACCTGCCAAGATCTGCCAGGCAGGCAATGCCTACACCCGAGATAAATTCAAACCAAAGGCCACTCGTAAGTGAGCAAGCCCTGCTAAGGGATAAGCCTCTCTGCTAAGTCCCTCCCTTCATCTCACTTTCTCCTTTTTTTTTTTTGCTCCTTCATTAGCAGGTGTCCCTCACCTCTTTATCTTATCCCAGTCCTGCCTGCTGGCTGGGAGCCTAAGGTGATTCATTGGTGGGGGTTTGCTTTAATTTTTGTCAAGGTAGTTTTGCCATACCATGCAGCTTACACATTTGCATCACTAATGCAAGCGTTGCTGGACTTTTTGCTGTGAACACAATTTAAATACTGCCAGCACTGTACTGCATGGTAATACTTAAGACACCAACAGAACAGTTAAATGGCTGGCCAACAGAAAGGGTGGCTAGCCATTTATATCATACAAACACTGCCAAAATCCCATTGATTTCAATACTAATGGTACTGCTTAAGCAGAGTGCAGCATGTCTGCCAATTTCTGTGGGGACAGCAAGCTCTCAGCTGCTCACTTCATTAAGTCTTCTTACCTTGTTACCAGGAATACTGCGCCTCTAATAGCAGGCTTGAAATTCATAGGCTGTAGGAGTTGCAAGGCTGGTAATGGCACTGGCATCATCTGATTTGGGCTAAAAGGGTTGGCTTTCTACCCCTTCATGTCAGGCAAATTCCTGATTCATACAATCATAGCAGGGTTGGAAGGGACCTCAGGAGGTTGCATCTAGTCCACCCCCCTGCTCCAGGCAGGATCAGCAGTCTCTCTAAACCATCCTACTCGTGTTTTTCTAACCTCTTCCTAAAGCTGCCTGAAGAACCTTTTTGCACAAAAAAAGGTTCTTTTTTTCTTTTGTAGACACAGTGCCCCAAAACCACCAATACCCTAATTTGTTGGGTAAAACAGAGGGATGAGGGCACTCTCAGTTGCCAGATAAGGTTGCTTTATGGGGCTTAGACTGATGGTATGGGAATGCACTGCCATATGCATATTTCCCAAGCTATTATTTATATAGAAACTGTATGTAGCTAGGCCTTGCATTCAGTAGGCCCTTGGTGGAGAGACAGCACTGGTGTCTCAGTTCTCTAGTGACTTACATTTTGGGCTTCCACAGGAGACTTGGAGAGGGAAAAGCAAAGGCTCCAGAACATCTTGGCAACTGGGAAGGACAAGGAGGAACACAAACCACAGCAGAAGCCAGTGCAGAAAAAGGAGGAGGAGGAGATACCTGAACCTGACCGGTTTGAAGAATGTACATAAGAAATAGGCTGGGGCACAAGAGTTGGCTCTTGACGAGATGCAGGGGATCAGGATATGTGTCCCTGTAATCTCACCTTTATTGAGGCAGGTGGAACATTGCTTTTGGCCTCCTCTCTGACACAGAGGATTTGCTACCCCTATCCATCCGTCTAGTGGAGACACTGCGTGTACCAGCAAGAGAGGCTTTGGTAGACCTAACTGGCACTGATTCCCTGAAATGAAGAAGCTGAGGCCTGTCAGCAGCATGGTGCTATGCTGTGTGTATGCAGCTATTGCTCTTATAGGAGGTGTCACCTTAATGTAGATAGGAAAAGGGCTCCCAGTGCTAGCAGGTTGCTCTTACCAGGTGTTGCTGTATTTAGGTGCTGACTATTGATAAAAGCACTTGGTGATTCATAGGAGAAATTTAAGTGAAAAGCCCGGGTATTTTTTTGGTGGTATAACTGCGTGCAGACTAGGGCCATTGCCAGCACAGCTGTGTTGGTCAGGCTGTGTTGCTTTCACACTTCTAACCAACAAGCTATCCCAGTAAGACTTAAGTGATGACCAGGACTTTGGTGAAACACTGCTCTGCTTTGCCATGCAGGTTCTTCTAGAGTGGCAGAGTCTTGCCTGTGATTTCCCTGGGCACTGAATAAGCTCTACATCCCTCCTGCCAGACCAGTCTACATATGAATTGAGCTTGACATCATGGGAAGAAAGAGAGAGGAATGGCACTTGTATCTTTAAATGCATGGCCACAGTGATAGGGGCCATCTAGCTGTCATTCTAGAAATTGTCTCTACCCTTTCTAGGCTTTTGTTCTAAGAGGGCTGGGAAGGCAGGGGAGGTTGCAGAGTTAACTAATAATGCTGCATTCCCACTTTTGATTCATGTTTCTGTTTTGCTTGCTCTGGTGCTCAGTGGTGAATGAAATTCGGGAGAGGAAGGAGTTCCTGGAGGAGATGGTAGCTCTGGGACAGGACAAGAAGTACCGAGGGATCATCCTTACTGAAATCTCACAGGTACCTTAGGAACCTCTCTGGTGTCTGCAGGAGGAACCTAAATGATACAGAATCTCAGATCCAGGATAGGTGTAACATTTCTCCTGGTGTATGAAAGTAACAGACAGATGATGCAGACCCATAAATGGGGTAACTGCTACTCTGACGGAGAATCGCCTCTGAAAGAACTGGGGAAAACTCTGCAAGTGTATGTTATGCTGATTTAGATTTTGTCTGTTCACATCCATCTGGTGGAGGTAGTTGAAGGAACAAAGACTCTTGAGCTGTTCCTGTGCTTCCTAAGTGTCAAGTGTAATAGTCACCCATTGTGCACAGGTACTTCTGGATAACTGTATGTCTGTCCATTCCCAATCTGAGTGCAATTTACATCAGAACAGAACCATAGTATCTGTACACCAGGTATATGTTTGTCTGTCTAGGACCTGAATTTTAAGATCTGTATCTACTGACCGGAACTGGGGAGAGGACAGAGAACCCACTTTCTTTTTCATAAGATGATGTAGACATTTATTTTTTCAGTGGAGGGTAGCGGGAAGAAGGAGGGTAGAAGCAGCAGCTGAGGTGAGAGAGGCTTTCAAGCGCCTTCCTTATTTCATAGATTCATAGATTAAGGGTCGGAAGGGACCTAGTAGATCTTCTAGCCCGACCCCCCGCCAGGGCGGGAGAACAACAAAAAACCCCAAAAAGAGACGGGACTCAAATGAGTCCAGCCAGGTAGGCATCCAGCCTCTTCTTAAAGACCCAATTTCAGTATGTAATTTAATAGAAGATCCCTCCAACCTTACATGTGGCAGGAAATAACAGCTCTTGGCATTCTTAATAGCTCAGCTCTTTCCTTGTTCTGTGCAGAAACTGCGGGAGATGGAGATCATTGACAAGAACAGGAACAAGGAAGCAAGAGAGGCAATGGCTACAAACCTTCCTGTAGGGAGCCAATCTGATTCCCAGAGCTAGACTACGAATGCAGAGCATTCCCACCCATTCTTTCCTTGGTCTTCCAGCAGCTTCTGAAAGGTCAGAAACTGGTCTGAACCTGTCCATCTATAGCAGATGCTCTGGAAGAAACATCAGTGCCTGCTGCATAGAGCCAAGCATAGGGCAGGGACATTATGGACAGCATAGGAGAAAGACTTTGTAAAATCTTCTCCACTTACTAGCTTACTTTCTCCATGGGTGCATTTTGTGGTGAAGCGTTAGATGCTTGGGGACCTCAATCTGGGAATCAGAGTCTTGTTGTGTGAAGCCACAGGAGATGAAGACCAGTGATGTTGCAGTGACCTTTGAAATAGAATAAAAGCAGAGCCCCCTTCCACCTTCTATGTACACCTTAAGGGGGCAGAACACAGCTTTCCTGCAGAACAGGCACCCAGATGGAAAATCTGTACCTTTTCCATAATCCTTGGGGGAAGGAATCTCTGGTTATTTCTGGACATTAGTATATTACATCCACCCACATTATCACATTAGCCTGCATTACCACTTCTGTCAGTACAACTCTGGAAACCATGTCAACTGCTGCCACATAGCTGACAAGAAGAACCAGCCACGTGGCCTCATAAATACAAACCTTGAATTTGACAGTACCACAGTTCAGTGAGATTTTGTGTATATGGGACCTCCTCTCCTCCTCAGCCAATGAAATGTGCAGGTTCAGGTAGGCTACTATGCTGGGTTGGGAAAGAGGAGACATGCCACTCAGGCTTCACAGCTCGGGAAGGTCTTAGGTCAATGGTCCCTTGTCCTTTCTAAAGCATCTTGATACAGAGTAAACATGATCCCGTAGTTGTTGGGGGAGGCAAGATGTTTGTAGAGAATGGCCAGATAAGACCATTGGATCATCTGGTATGATGCCCAGGATAATAAAAACTCCAAGAATTTCATTCAGCTACTTCTGAATTGAGCCCAGTTTAGGGAGTCCTTTCAATGGGTCTCTGAATCCTCAGGCTCCTCCCTTCCTTTGCTTCAGGCACTCAGCCTGCCTATACACATGCTTGGGGGTGGGCTGGGGCCATTTTAATTAGAGCAGTTCCTGGACAGCAGCTAATCAAAATGGCTCACCATCACATCTGTTAAGCCCCTGCATGTTTCAGAACTGCTGTGGGATGCTTTATCTAAGGCTCACTCGACGAGGTATAGATAAAGTGTCCCTGCAGCCATTTTGAAATGTGCAGGGGCTTAATACATGTGAGGGTGAGGTGATGCTGGAGTTTTCCAATTAGAAGGTGGAGCAGACTAGACTAATTGAGTCTGCTCCAACAGATTCCAATTAGAACATGAATGAGCATGTCTATAGGCAACCTCAGCTACTTGTCTGTGCTTCTGCAAACCTCCATAAGAGGGCAGCCTGAAAGGTGGGGCTCAGACCTGAAACCCTGCAGCAACGCAAGCACAGGACACACGAAGCAAAATGGCAGCAGCATATATGTAACTCCAACGTTTTATTTTTCTGCAGATGAATGAAAATCCCAGAGTTAGTATAGTGTAATAATTTATAAATCAAAATACCAATGGGGAAGGGGGAGTCAGACTGCAGCAATCCCAACGGCCTTTGGCAACAGTGACTTGATAGCAGGCTGCAAAGCCTGTCAGTTTGCGTTGCTTTGGAGAGGGGATGTGCAGTGAGATCTCCCCTCTAGCCATTTCTCCTGGGTCAGCCAGTTGGGGGTTGCCAGGGTGAGAATGGGCGTGCCTTTCCATTGCTAGGGGGCCAAGCATCCTGCCCCCATCAACAGTGGCAGCCCCAGGAGCCATGATGAACTCAGATCCCTCAGTGTTCTTGTAAACAGGGATCCCTTTATAAAAACAGGCACCAGCAACGGGCCAAGACACTGCCGGAAATGAGTATGGTTTGGATGAACCCCACAGGACCTGGAGAAGGGACTGCAGCAGTTTGCTCTGGGCTGGTAGTCTACTCTGCTAAGGAGAAGGCAAGACAAACAGCTGACCAACTGACACCCACAAGACTCCATGTCTAACAGACCAATCAAACAATTCAATAAATAGCATCTCCCCTCTGAGAAGGCAGAAAAAAGAAGGGAGGATGGGAAGAGTGCTCTTCCCATCCTCCAACATACTCACACACAAACAAATAGAAGAAGGGTTTAAAAAGCAGGGAAGGGGGTTGAATTTCATCTCGGAAAGACTACCAAACTTCCCTTGCAATCTTTAAAAGTATATACAGGCAAAGCCAGCGCACACCCAGGGATCCCCATCCCGTTTCCCACACTGGCTGAGGGTGGCCCCAGCGAGCAGCTAACCAGATGATTTCGCTGGTACTGAATAGTCTTGTACTTCTCTTCCCTCCCCTGGGTAAGGAATGTGCCTCCCCTCCCAGAAAAGGCAGCAGAGTGGGTCTAGTTAGCAGCATCAGGGAGGGTTAGATGCCCTGAGTGGGATAACTCAGCTACAGCCAGTGGACCTCCAAGTAGTCCCATCCCTTTACGTGCTGCCTGTGGCCCTGGAATTGATCCCTATCAGCCTGGAGGCTCCTGGGGTGTCTGCCCTCAGTGCTAGGGGGAGTTCAGAACAGGGCACTTTTGTTTTCTTTTTTGGTTATTTGTTTAGGACCTTGTAACACAGGAATGTTTCCTGAATTGTAGTTTATGCCAATTAAATGACAACCCTGTGCGCACACACCCAGAGCTTCAAACGCAACATGACTGGGGGAATTTAGACAGCAAAGGAAAGAGCTGGAGGTCAGCGAGGGACAGCTAGGTCCACTGGCCCCAAGGCAGTGGGTACGAGGCACATGTGACTATCACAGTTAGAGGAAGAGGTGAGGGCCATTAGTGCAAGTTTCCCATAAACCCCCAAATCCTTTCCTTGCTGTTCGTGCATACATAGACACACACAACAGGGTAACATATCTCCTAAAGCTTTTCATCCTCTTGCCCCCCACCAAGGGTTTGTGTGTGGAGGGGAGGGAACACAGTAGCTTTTTTCCTCAGGGCAGCTCCCCACAGTATGAGAAAAGGGGAGCACAGTTGATCAGCCCCGCCATGCCTCTCCCCCATTTGGGCAGACCCACATCTGTGGCTGAAAAACTGACTGAGCTCCCACAGGGGGAAGCCAGTGTTGGGACTGCTTGGGGACGATGAGTGGAGAAGCACAGCTTCAGGGGTGGCAGCCCCTTTGGCAGGGATCTGGCCAGCTGCGGGGAAGGCTGACAGTCAGGCAGCAATGGATCCACCCTCGCTTCTGGCCTTCTCCTGCTCTAGGTCTTTTCCTTGGGTGACTTGCTCTTTGACTCCTGTTTGTTGCCAAGCAGCTTGAGCACTTTCAGGGGTTTGAACTTTCCTTTCTTCTTGCCCTCAGCCTCAGCTTCCTTGTGAAATTCTGCAAGAGAATTGCCATAGGTTATTGCCTACAGGATGGGGCCCATGGATGATGCACACACGCTGCTGCCTACAAGCCCGACTCCCCACATAACTGAGACTGCAGCATGAGTTTCCCTGGGAGCTGAGGACAGTCACACATTTGACCAACTTTCTGCCCTAAGAGTATTGTGATTCCCTTGACTCCTTGAACACAAGCACAGAGCAATGCTGACATATATAATACATCAGAACATTCCCCAAAAGGCTCTTTGCCCACTCCTCTGCGGGGAGAGGATGAGAAGAGAACATGTGACAGGCATTCACACCACTTCAGGCACTACCAGAAGGTGCAGTATGAGAACCTATACAGAACAGGATAAATCCCAAGCCAAACACCCCCACCCTCCCAAAACACTTTTACACATGTTCCAGGGGGGCAGCACTTTAATTAGAGCGGTTCTGAGAGCTGCTCTAATTAAAAGCACCACAGCATCTTGTGTATCAGCATCCATGCACTTAAAAATGGCGGCAGGGGCATTTGAGCTAAAGTGCCCCTGCCACCATCTTTAAGTGCAGGGAGACTGATACATGAGACATAGGAGGCTGCTGGAGCGTGATAGTTACCATGTTCCAGCAGACTCAATCAATCTGCTGCTCCAACGCAGTGTCAGAGCAGTCTCTCCTCTCATGTACAGGCACCCATCTACACTAACTGTTTATTCCGCCCTGTGAGGGTGGGAGAACCAGGACCCTGAAGCCCTCTTCCTCGCTTACCTTTCTTCTTAATCATAGCTTCCAACATTTTATCCTCCTCTTCCTCTCTGAAACAAACAGAAAGAAACTGATGAGAGATTCTATCCCAAAGACATCCACCATAGCATTGGTTCAGGAAAGAGAGCCCCCCCAGCTCTTGAGCTGTGACAGGAGTGGTGGGGGGTGGGGTCCACCTGTGTCCCATGATTCTTTGCCACATATGCCTGTACCAGGACAGATGTCATTCCAGACAAACTCCTTGCCACCCCCACAAACCATCAACACTGATTCATAGGAACAGGGCTTGGGCGATCATGGGGAAGGTCTGTCAATAACAATAAAACCTCAGACTCTCTCTCTAGTGCACATTCCCCGCATCAAGATGACAGGTGCCATCTTTTCTGTAGTGTCAACTGCATGGGACAGTGGCATAGTTATACAGCCGGGTGCCCAGGGCAGGGGGGCAGTGGTGACTTCTGGTTGCCACTGTGTCACCAGCATAACCACATTGCTGTTTTTTTTCACTCCCCCCC